GACCCTCGTGATTGCAAGAGGTCCATTTTTCTAAGGCTTCCCAATTTATTTTTAAGGGGGTGGGGGTGAGGAAGAGGGGAGGGGGGGCGCTGACACCCAGCAGCATCGCAATCCACAATGCGCCGAATTCCAGTAAAACGCAACCAGTGACGGCTTCGCTACAGAACTAGACACCTCCTACTAAATGACCCAAATGCTGCTTTCGGTTTCCCCCATCCACACACTGGCATTGAAAACGATAAAGATACATGAGTGAACAAGTACGAATACATTTTTTTTTTTAAATACTGCACACATAAATACATTGCTTCTATATATACCATAGGCAGATATGTACACATCGAAGGATGCCAACTATCTTACGGTTAACGTGGCTGGAAATAAACACCGCCCCTCACCCTTTTAAACTTTTTTTTTATTTTAAAGTTATTGCTGCGCCCGTGAAAAGCTTTGCTGTGCTTTTTCTAAACTCTTACTCTGAAGCTCCCATCATACAATTAAATTAAATGCTTAAATTTTACACCAGGGCTCCTGTGCTCAGAGAAAACGTTGGACCTCAAGCCAACGAGACGTAATCCCTCTTCAGGGTGGGGGGAGTGAGTGAGTGAGGGGCTTTCGTTCTTACGACTTTGAGGGCAGCAGGGGAGAATCCCACCTGCTCTGCCAGGTATCTCTGAACTCAGAACACCTTGCAAAGCCATTCGTCTCTCCGTCACGCCTCCAGATTTAGGAAGGAAGCATTAGATGCAGGTCCTTCTCAACTCACAACAGTGCAAAGTTATGACGGGCACTGCAAAACCTGACTTATGACACCCCTTTTTTCCCCCCCACCCTTACAACCGCTGCAGGGCTGAGCGAACAAAATTCAGAGGCTTGGCAACTGGCTTGAACTCGTGACGGTTTGCAGAGTCCCGGACTTGTGCAAATCCCCCTTTTGCAACCTTCCAACAAACAAAATTAAATAATTCAGGGATTTGCTGACAAATTGTGACAAGGAAGGTCTTAAAACGGGGGGGAAAACTCCCTCCATAACCACCTCAACCACAGAAAATTTGGGCTTAACGCTGGTCATAAGTTGAGGACTACCTGTTTATATTTTTGGGGGGTTGCAGGGTGTTTGAAAGCAAGGGCTTTTTTTGGGTGTGTGTGTGTGTGTGAGAAAGGGCCCTTTGCTTAAAACTGCCAAATCCCCCCGTTCCATCAGAAAAACCCCTGTGCAGATGTCCAGTGCCTTGGGGTTCAGGGGATGGAGATTCGGACGAGCGATGAAGAACACAACTGGGAGACACAACTTAAGACACACAAAAGACCAAGGGGAAAAAAAAAAACCCCAGAAAGAAAGAAAAAAGGAGCAGATTTCTCGTCTCTTAAGTTATCGGCTGCTCGTCTGGAAGGGCCCCTTGGCAGCTGTGCCCGTCTCGCCAGAAAGGGGGAGAGAGAAAGAGAGAGAAGGAGGGGAAAGGAGGAAATGGCACAAGGCAGAGACAGCGGATAGATAATTGCGGCATTCAACCGGACTGTGGAAACGTCCCGGATTATCTACCGTGTCGGGTTTTGATCGGACTCATCACGATTTGGTTGCAAATGGTTTGATTTTGGTTTTTGTTTTGAGGAAGGGTGAGGAAGACGCTGGCAATGACACATGAAATGGAGAGCGGAGACAAAAAGACCGAAGAGATATAGTCCCATCTCAAGATTTCCATGGTGGGGGTGGGTGGGGTGGACACCCCCCCCCCACCTGGGACAGGTGAGCTTAAATTATTCGATAGCACCCATAAGCCCCCAAAGGACAGAGGGAGGACAGCATACCCGACGAGGAGTCGGAGGATTTTAGGGCAAAAGACCAACCATCAGGGGTCATAGACGCACAATGTGGCAAACGCAGCTCGACGGGCTTCTGGAATTTGAGTCCATGCGGCCCACACATGACCAGCGGGCTCAGGAGCGTCTCGCCTGCGGAGGAGGACAGGAAAAAAGGAGAGGCCTTGTTAGCAGGGACTTCGCACCCCTCCCGACGGGCCCACCTGAGCCCACAGACGCACCTGCTCTCAGCTTGGAAGCCGTTTTTATTTTCCTTTTTAAAAAAAATAGCTTTTACTAAAATTTTACACTTTTAAAAACAAATCATATGCACAAATTTTGCTGTTAAGTTGTGGCATCGACTTTTCCATTTTCATTTACACAAACACACACACAAATAAATAAAACAAACTATTCTTAAAAATACCAGTTCCAGGTATACTTTTAAAAGAAGAAACAGACATCCTGCAATCTCCGGAACTTAAAATTACATTTAATGTACTTGTAAAGGCAGAGATCTCTGTAAAGGTAGCTTAATACTCTGATGATGTCAGCAGAGGCTGATGAACGCTTAGTAAGTACATTAAGTGTAATTTTAAGCTCTGGAGATTGCAGGATGTCTGTTTCTTCTTTTACATACATACATACAAACATATATACATAGACACACACATATACATACACACATACATATATATATATAATTCACATTTACATTTTGCGTTATCTTTTATTCCTGTTATCTAACCAAATATACCATTTTTCACAGACCATATAATATTCTTGTTCTCCCTTCTCCTGCAATTCCATTGTACGTTTATTCACTTCTGCACAATCCATAATTTTTCTTTGTGATCATATTATCTGTGAGACTGCTCTTTAATTTCCAATTTGGAGCATACGTCATTCTAGCTGCTGTCAGTATATGTATTATTCAATGTCCTTCTTATATTCACCTCTGATTATCCCTAATAAAAACATTTCAGGCTTTAAGTTCTGTTTTTAAACCAATTATTTCTTGCAGCCAGATCCTTATTTTATTCCAAAATTTCTTTGCTGTAGAACACAACCACCACATACGAAGGTACCTGGTTTCTTTTTGCATTTCCAACATGCCGGGTTCAAATCTGGGTAAATTCTGGCTAATCTCGCTGGTGCTAGGTGCCAAGGATAGAACATTTTGTAGATATTTTCTTTGTGCGCAGCTGCCATGGTTAATTTATAGTTTTTCATCCAAAGTTTTTTCCCAATCTTCTAATTCTATATTATATCTGAAGTTTTTCATCCAGGCAATTATTGTTTGTGTCACTACCTCCTGTTCTCTGTCAAATTTTAGAAGGTAGCTATGCATTTTAGTTATACATTTTTCTTCTGGTCCTAATAAGATTTCATCAATTGGTTGTGGTCTTCTAACTATGCCAAATTCTGGAAGTCATTGACTTCTGGGCTGCCACATTCAGCGCCTGGGAAATTGGGAGGTGCGGGGACTTCAAGGAGCGGTGGAAAATTTCAAATAACGCCTCATAAAATTTGCTTTCAAGGAAGTACCAGGGAAAATAGACCACAAAGAACGAACTTTCATGGAATAACAAGAGTTGGAAGTCATCTGGACACGTCTTCAAGGAAAACACACACACACAATAAAGTCCAGCTGCCTTTTGGAAAAGCACCTTTGGGGCAGGTAAGGGCCATGAAAGCTTGGGGGCCATGATGGCGTATTTGGAAATACCACAAGGGCCCAAACGGGCCTGTTTTTCGGCCTCCTTCCCTCGAGCCCCTGGGAGGACAAAAACAGCCTCCAATGGGCTGAAAATCAGGCGCGCACGAGGACTGCAGGTAAGAAGGGGGTGCTGTTTCACGCACATGCGCAGGGGGGGGGAGGCATTGCATTGTGGGTGCCGGTTTCGGCACACCACAACAGAAAGGTTTGCCATCACTGGCTTAGGGGAAACGTTGCCCTCTTACCTTTCTCTTTGTCTAGAGGCGGAAGGATGCTGTTATCCCGGCAGACTTTAAAATAGATCTCCTGCTCGATTCCCTCTGGGATGGCTCCTTGCGGGATAATGATGCTGACGCCCGTCTCGATGGAGCTGAGGACGCCCCCGTTGCTGTTAAAAACACCCCTCGCGGTGGCGATGACCGTGTGGCCTTCCTCTTCCTCGTCATCTTCCAAAGCAGAAGGACTGAAGACAGAGAGACGGAATTTAGACCGGGCCTTCGAATCGCACCCGGTGCTTTGCTCGCAGGCGTTGTACTACCCAACTAAATCACTTCATCAGCGCGAGGGAGTGTGGGGCTGGCTGCCCACAACCAAGATCTGAATTTCTGTTGCTAATCGAGACCGTCGTTAAGCGAGTCAGGCTCAACTTTACAACCTTTCTTGTACAGTTGTCAAGCAAATTTTTTCTTTTTTTAAAAAAAATGTCTTTTAACGACCCTGTAATCCCTTTGGGGCCATGAAATGGAGATGAGTGTTTACTGGCCAGATGCCCTTCCTATCGCCGATGCAGAGTTAGCAGCTGCTATATACTCACTGTGCCCAAAGAGAGAAAAATCTGCTGTTATCTAGGGTTGAACTCATAGCCTCCTGACTGGGAGGTGAGAGCTCCACTTGTGATGACCCAGAGGGGCGTGGCACAAAGGCAACACAGTCACATAAGCAAGAAGAGTCCCTTTAATACCTCCAACTTTACACCCAATGTCCAGGTTACCTTCAGCTGGAGAAAAAAACTCCCAGGAAGAGTCTTTAAGTGGAGGAAATTCAGTCCGAAAACAAAGCACATACAAACTGGAACTAAAAAACCCACACAAACCACACACTGCAGTAATTAACTGGACAGGGCAGGAGAAGGAATTGCAGACTTCAAAGGCCAACAAAACACACACAGTTGGGAAGACACCAGGAACCCAGATAAGCCTCGACAATACCAGATAATTCACGATTTGCTCCCAACAGTTTGCTGTGCACAGCTTCCCTTTTTAAACACTGTGTTCCCAGCTGCAGCTAATGAAGGGAATCAGGGCCCTTTCTTCCCCGTAAGCCATGCAGCTCATGTTGCTCCCTTCTCTGTTCCTCCCTAGGATAAAGAAGGAATGGGCCTGGGTCTTCCTCTGAATTCCCTCTCCCTTGTTCTGCCTCTCTCCTGCTCTGCCCAGTCGGACTTTGCCCTTCCCCAGTTTCCTCCACAGCCGACGGAGCCACACTCCCATTCCCTGTCAGCTGCTCGGCCTCCCCCTCCGAATCAGATTCCAACAGGGGCATGACACCACCTCTAGGCCACCGTACCACTCAATTATCAAGTGAGTCACTATGGTTATTAAGCTAATCACCCGGTTGTTAAGTGAATCTGTCTTCCCCCCCATTGACGGGTCAGAAGCTGTCTGGGAAAGTCCCAAACGGCGGTGGCACGACTGGTGTAAAATATGCAGCCCTGCTAAGTCCTTCAGGGGAGCTCCTTACCTGACGGGGATGGCCTTCGGCACGGCGCTGATGTTATTTGGTTGGTACTTGAGTTTGTCCCCTTGGCCGGAGAAGCTCTCCAGGTTGCTCTCGAACTCGGGCTGAGAAGAGCCGTGTGCTTTCAGAAGAGGCTGGGGAGAATGCTGAGGCTTGGCTGAGGGTATCTCGGAGGGCTTCGGGAGGGTCTCCTCCGGCAAGAGGTTGTGGTTGAACTTGGGGCTCTCAAACTTGCGCTCGAAGGGCCGCGCCGCGCTGGTGTAGGGCTTGGAGGAGGTGGCGAAGCGGTTGTAGGCGGGGGTGGTGGTTTTGGCGAGCTGCTCGACCCCGTTGATGGGTCCTTTGTCAGGGAAGCTCTTCTGAGGGTAGTAAGTAGCCTGCACCGTGTCTTCTCGGCTGGAAGATCTGAAAGCTGCTGGTTTGTTCTGAGGCAGGGGCGGTGGCAGCTCCGGTTTGGAGAGCGGGGAATTCTGGAAGTCTGGCACGGAGTGGATGGCAATTAAAATATGTTTAAAACAAAAGGCGAAAACAAAGAGGAGGTGGCAATATCTTAAAATCTGCAAGTACAAGTTATTGAGCCGTCCCATTTCCTCCCGACCCCGCCTCCTTTTAAAAAAAGAAAGAAAGAAAGCAGAAAGCAAAATTAAATCCATCGGATTCTAAACAATGACATCACATAATGTTGGAAGATAGAAACAGCCCCCAAAAGTCACATTCCCCAATAGAAGCAAATCAACGTTGCCTGGTGTCATCTATCTTCACCTCCAGGTCTCAGCAGGGTCAGCTTTCATTCCCACGCGAAGGAGAACCACCCAGCCTAAACAACCCTCTCTTATCTCCACTCCTCCCACCTTAGGAATGTGTGGCAGAGCTCGAAACTCTTCCTCCCGTAACCAGCGAAGAGAAAGTAAGGAAAAGAATGTAAGATATGGCTAAATAAAAAAGCTGTGCATATGTCAATTTCGGGCTTAACGGTCTGATTTGCGACCCACAATCCCCAAACGGACGACACAAATATTTCAGTGGAAGCAGGACGCATCTGAGCCTCACCTTCAGCCAAGACCGACTTGGGTTGAAGAGACACGATGGGGTTATTGATGGACTGAGGTTGGGTGTACTGGACGGAGGGCACCGGGAGAGTTACTTGAGGAGGGGGCTCGTAGCGCTTGTCCCCAAGGCCCCTCTCCAGGGGCTCCGCGTCTACTGGTTTCCCCCTAGTAGGACACAAGAAAGAGACATCAACCCTACCACTTCCTGACGTTCCGTTTCCCTGATTCAATTCCTGGAGACTCCCCAACAACTCCACCCACAAAGAGTACTTCATTTCTGGGACAATTCCATGGATTTCAACTCCAAGAATTCTCCAGGCCTGGCTGGGGAATTTGGGGACAGTCCATACGCTCTTGGCTGGGAAATTCTGGAGTTGAGTCTCGCCCATTTTCAGCTTGCAAAAAAACGCTGTTTTAGACCGGGGCTTTAAACCGCCCACATGGCCTGTGAGAACACAAAGCTTGCGTCGCTTGCATTGTGAATAACACAAGGTAGTGAGGGGAGGGGGGAAAGGGCGGAGGTGGGGATCTTGCCCCTCTCGCCCCACAGGTCTGGCCTGGCCACCGGGCTGCTTCTTTCTTCTTCTGCTTTTGGCTGCACGCAAGGAAAGCAGCCAAAGTCTGTCTTTCTCTCTCCCAAACTCCGCCACGAAATGAGTCTTTGGGACCCTGCAAGGCCTCCTGCTCCAAGAGGCTGCGCCGGCAAAGACTCATTTCTGGCGGAGTTTGGGGGAGAGAAAGAAAGACTTCTGCGGCTTCTGCTGCTTTCCTTGCATGAAGCCAAAAGTCTCTCTCTCTCTCTCTCTTTCTTTCTCTCTCTCTCTCTTTCTCTCTCCCCCTGAGAACAGAGGTGGAGACGGTATCCTGCGATCCCAAAATAAAGAACGATCGATCGGTAGGAAAATGGGGTGGGAAATTTTCCTGCAGACTTTTTGGGGGATTTTCCCAGGATCTCCGGTCCGCGGGATTTAAAATCCTGAGTTTGGTGGTCCCTGAGGTCCAAAAGGTTGGAGACCCCTGGCCTAGTCCAATCCCCTGCTCACGAAGGAGGAGGAGGAGGAGGCCTGCAGAAAGAGGAACGAAGCCTTACTTGGAAGAGTAATTGGTGTAGTTCAACTGATTGTGAACAGCTTTTCCAGGCTCTGCATGATGGCTGCTGGGGACTTGGGCGGCAGGCTTGCTGTCGTAGCTCCGGCGGTCGAAATAGGAGAGCTGCTTGCGGTAATATTCCTCATCTTCTTCCGGGTCGTAATGGTTGGCTCGGACGATGTCCTCGGGAGGCTTGGCTTGAGGTCTCTGCGGTTCAGGGGCTCTAGCAGCACCAGAGAAATTCAAAGGGGTTGTTATTTATTTATTCCGCACCTCTATTGCTTTGATAAAGAACTCAAGATGGCTAACGTCTTCCTCCTAATTTTTCCCCGCTTGGAGAACGGGAGGATTTGGGCGGAAGGGAGAAGCGGGAGCTTTCGCGCAGGAAGGCGCCAACTCCAAATTGCGCTACAAAAACACGAGGTTTGCATTTTAAAAAGTAGGAACCGCGCAGCTGCCTCTTGGTGAAAAAGCAGGCACCAGAGTCACCGCCAGGTTGACGCCGGCAGCTTATGTGTTGATGGTGTGCCTGTTGCACACCTCCGCCTGCATTTACCTGTAAGCTGATTTGTCGCTCGGGTTTTGAGAGGCTGTTTTGGGGCCGGTCAGCGGCGCCACATTTGGCTTAGGCGCAAGTTCCGGAGGATGCTAAAAAGCAAAGAGAGAGAAGTCAGAGAAGAAAGGCCACAACCCCATGGAGGAGCTTATTGGATGACTGTCTGGACAACCCAGCTTCCTGTCTGGACAGAGGAGTCGGTCCAGCTAGAGAGAGCCCGGCACTTTAAAGAGGAGAGCCGCTTCAGCAATATGAACTTCCGTTTACAGTGTGAACCATTTTTAAGCTGATATTGCATAAAATGGCTGTCCTGGGGAAGAGAGGGAAGGGGAGAAAGGAAGGGAGGGAGAAAGGAAGGGAGGGAGGAAGGAAGGGAGGGAGGGTGGGAGGGAAGGAAGGAAGGAGGAGGGAAAGAGGGAGGGGAGAAAAGAAGGAAGGCAGTAAGGGTGGAAAGGAGGGAGGAGAGAAAAGAAGGGAGGGAGGGAAGGGGAGAAAGGAAGGGAGGGAAAGGAGGAGGGAGCAGAGAGAGGAAGGAAGGAGAGAGGGAGGTGGAAAAGAGGGAGGGCAGAAAAGAAGGAAGGCAGTAAGGGTGGAAAGGAGGGGAGAAAGAAAGGAAGAAAAAGAGGGAGGGAGGAGAAAGAGGGAGGGAGGAGAGAAAGGAAGGCTGGAAGGAGGGAGGGAGGAAGGGGAGAAAAGAAGGAAGGCAAGGAGGGAGAGAGGGAAGGAGCAGAGAGAGGAAGGGATGAAGGAAGGAGATGGGTATGAGAGGGAGGGAAGAGAGGAGCTTTAACGGCCTCCCAAGGGTTATTCCTCAAATCCCGCCATGCCCTTCTAGATCCCACCAGACACGCCGAGAGGAAGAGGCTGCCCGGAGACCCCTCCGTGGCTCTACCTTCACCGCGGAGAGATCGTTCGAGTCCTTGATCTTTTCCAGCGACGAGGAGCGCTTGTTCTCAAACATCTTCACCCGGGTGAGCACCGACTGGGGCTTCATGGCCGGGTCGTCCTCCTCCTCCTTGGCGGGCGGGGTGGGCAGTGCTTTGCTGTTGCAAGGCAGCGCTTCGGGCTTGCTCTGGGGAGGGAGGGGCGGGCCCCCGGTGCCGAGGGCCGCCTCGTAGGGAGCTGCTTTGGTGCCGAAACCCGGTGGAGGCGCTTGCTCGTAGCCTCGCGGTTGCGACTCGTAGTAATGCTTCGGCTCGGGCGACCGGGGCACCGTGGCAGAATATGGCTGGGGCTCCGACTTGTACCTCCCGTGGACTTCGTAGCCAGGGGGAGGGGGCTCCTCGTACCTCAGCTGGGAGAGGTTGAAGGCTTTCGGGGCCGGCTCGTAGCGGGGCCGGTTGTCGTAGGCCACGGGCGCTGGTTCTTCGAAGCGAGGCTGTGCCCCGAAGTAGCCGCTGCGCGCTGCGCTCTCTTCCGTGTTGGCCCGAGGGTCAAAATCCCGGGGCGGCTGGCTCTCGTAGGGGGGCCGAGGCTGGTAGGGCTGCTTCTCCTCGTAATACATCCAGTGGTCTTCGTAAGGGGGCACGTGCTCCTCGTAGGGCAGGCGGGGGTCATAGCTGTGAGGGAACGGGTCCACGTAGTTGGAGGAGTCGTAGCGGTACGCCAAGGGCTCGTAATCCCGGTTGGCTGGTTTCTCCGGATACGGACCCTGTAGTTCATAGGTCAGATTAGGGTCTTTCTCTTGTCTCTGTCCTGGCTGCTTCAAGGCAAAGTTTTGATGAGGGAGATCTTCGTGTACAAAGGGCTCCTTCCGGTACATCTGTGGAAAGAGAGCGTTTTGCTGCAGTCAGACATTTCCAAATTCTACATCAGGGGTCTCCACCCATGGCAACTTTAAGACTTTTGGACTTCAACTCCCAGCCAAGCTGGCTGAAGAACTCTGGGAGTTAGTTGGAAGTCCACAAGTCTTAAAGTCGTCACGGTTGCAGGGCCCTGATCTAGAGTCAACACATCTGGATCAAATTAGGGTTTTACCACACCCAGATCATCGCAATTTGAGCCATTTTCAAAAGCTGACCAGCACTCCTTGCTTAGTGACTGCCTTGTTCAGCGACCAAACGGCCCAATTCTTGCATTTAGGATCCTCCCGGGTGTCTGAAGCCAAGGAAAGCTGAAGTCAGATTGTAAGCCCGGTTGTAGTTTTTTTTACACACCATGGCAATCGCTCCACGATAGAGTGGCCAGATCCAATCGTGGTTGCTAAACGAGGAATGCCGGATAAACTGCTGGTCAAAATCAGCCTAACAAACACTCCTCTTAAAATTTTTAGCCCTGCTCTGAATCAAATAGTCCTGAGACTCTCATCCCCCAGTGATTCAACCGGTTTGCACCAGTTTGGGAAAACCGGTTGTTAACTTTTCTGAGCAGTTTGGCGAACTGGCTGTTGGAAGGAATCATTAGGGCGGAGAACCGCTCGTTAAATTACTTGAATCCCACCGCTGCCATTCCCACACAGCCGATCCAAATACAGGGTGACCCAAACCCATTTTTATTTCCTTGTCAAATTTATCAATCGGGAAACAAGGCCGCACATGTTCTAAAAAGCGCATCAACCAAGGAAGAGAAAGCTTCAGCCACGCAGCAGCATCGCTTAAGTAGGAACAAACATAACGCAAAACAAAGGAACGAAAAATTCAAGCCGTGAAGCTTTGAAGGGCAGGAGGCACAGCCCTGGGAATGGAGGTGCCCAAAAGACCTGTGGATCGACCCTTGAGTGCATGCAAATCAATGACCGCTCACCCCCACCACCCAAATTAAAATATTATTGTTTTTCCCTGAAGTGATTTTGGATTGCAGGAAGGAAAGGGGGCTTGGATGCAACGAGAGCCTTTAATAGGCAAGCAAAAAGCAATGGTTTTGACCGGCAACCCTCGGACCCAGAGTAGGAGGTCGCGGCGCAACCACGGGGTACCTTAGTTGAATCTACGTGCGGTGGTAAGGAAGGCAGGTCCTGGTCTCTGAGGACTATGTGGGGCGCCTCGGGGCCGGCCATCCTTAGGGGCCCCGCTTGTGGCTGGTACGAGTTGTAGGGGGCCGCCCCAGGTTCCTCCAGCCTGGGGAGGCTTACACAGGGGTTACCGGCAGACGTCGAAGAGGCCGGGCCCCCCGTTTCTGGCGACGGGGAAAGGTAGGGGGGTGAAGAAACCTCTGCTTTCTGCGAAGTGTTTAAAATAATAGGTTCCGGTCAAGCGGAGGCTCTTCCCAGCGCATCAAAAACATTGTTAGTATTGTTTGTTAAATGTATACGGCTGCCCCGTCTCACCAATTGAGCGATTCTGGGCAGTTTATGGCTAATAGTTATAATCACCCCATAATCCCTACAGTGGTGTGTTTTATATGAGTTAAGTCAGGTGGGGGGGGGTGTCCTTTCACGTATGAAACTGGACTGATTTAATATTTTCCCCCTCAAAAGGACAATCAAGGAATAAAAACAGAGCAATTTGATGGACTTTGGGGAAGAAAAACAGAGGCAGACGCAGTAGATTCTCTCATTTCGCTAAGCGGGTCTCTTCATTTCCCTGCTAAATTCGCCATGATCTACGGGAAAGCCTCGAGTTAGGACTGTTAATGGACCGTCTGCATTATGGTCCTTAAGTTGTAACGGACGTAAAATGGGTCGGTCACCTAACTGATTTTTACCATCTTTTCCGCCGTGGTCTCTAAGGGCCAACGGTTTGCTAGGGGCGTGCGGTTTGGCCCAAAACCATCATAAAGTAGGATGGTGTCACTGTGGGAGACTGCAAATGGCTCAAAGAGAGTTGTGTTGCTGGGGTGTGGTCACGTGACTATGGGGGGGGGGGGGGGGGCGGCAGAGAGGAGACCATTAAAACTTTAGATCTGGGTCGGTCATAATTATGGAAACATCACCAAGGTCACGATAAGAACATGGGAGTTGACTTAGCATGGAGGTCTTCAAACCTGGCAACATTAAGACTTGTGGACTTCAACTCCAAGAGCTGAATTCTGGGAGTTGAAGCCCACAAGTCTTCAAGTTGCCAAGTTTGAAACCAAGGTTGAAACTGAAAAATCAACGCAAAAATGGTTGGTCCACCAAGGTTGCTTTTGAGATTAAATAACCCATTCAGGGTCCTGGGCTGCTGGGAACTGGAGCGCTTTGCGCGACTTGGCTTCTGCTAACATCCTTACCGGTTGAGCAGTACAGTTTTTAAAACCCGGAGATTCTATCCTGGGATTTGGCTGTGGCTGGCCTTGGGACCCATACGGAGGGTAGTTTTGGTTCTCTGGATGGACCCCGGATGCTTCTTCTCTTACGGGTTCGGAGGAGCGCGTAATGGCGGATTCTGGGGGGGTCCCAACCTCATCGTTGAGCGTCTCGTCCAGCTCTTGGTCGGTGTAGGCTCCACCTTCCGTGTCCGTGTCCTCGTAGTCGGAGGTGTGCCGGCTGTCGGTGCTGTACATGGAGTACTCGCTACCTGGAGCCGACAGGTAGGACAGCCGGTCATCATGTAGATCAAGGTCATCACTTGTAGTGCCATCGGCCTGTTTTAGATACATTAGAGTTGGACAGTTGAACGGGGAGATGGTGGGATCACGTTGGTCTCCACTGCAAAGGGGACCGAACAGCTACCTCTCCTCGGGAAGTTCCTCAAGACTTAAACTCTTGAGTTTCCTCCAGACCAGGGGTCGTCAACCTTTTGGACCTCAGGGACCACCAATATGAATTTTGACTGGTGGTGGCTTGCCGTCATGGGTGGGAAAGTCGGTCCCCTATTCCAGAGCTGCAGGAGTCACAGGATTGGCCCTTTGGTCCTCCCAGAGCAGCTAATCCTCCACTCAGGTGCACCGGCCTACCACGGACTGGAGCAGCTGCTCCGGGATGACCGAAGGACCAGTCCTGTGACTCCTGCAGCTCTGGAATAGGGGAACGACTTTCCCACCAATGTCAGCAAGCCACCCCGGGGCGGATTTCCCTCCTCCGCCGTTGGTCTTACCTTCCAGTTCCAGCTCGCGTGGCTCTACTCGAGGTAAGGTTTGCGCTCGGCCGAAGGGTGGGGGCCAGTAGGTGGGCGGGCCATGTGGGCGGCGCAGCCTTGTGTTCCCACGCAGCTTGGTTTAATTGCTTTGGGGGGGACATTTCTCTGTGGACCACTAAAAAATGGTGGCCCCCGGTCCACTGGTTGGCGACCACTGCTCCAGATTGAGGTAGAGAACGTTCAGAGAGGACCAAGGAGCCCACAAACTCAACCCTGAGTTACAAATATTCTCTTCTAAGATACAGAGATCTCTTTATCTAAACCGCTGCTATCATCAACATGTTGAGTATGCTCAACGTGCTTCCTCTAGCTTTTTCCTAACACCAGCTGACCAGCTCCGCTGAGAGGTCCAGCCGAAGAAGTCAGAGACATTGTAAGCTGCTGCTTCTTCCATCCAACGTTGCCATGAGGGACAGGAGGTCTACCAGCCAGTAGCCCACCAAGGCAGATGTTCATATTCCCCCAAAACTTTGGCTATCAAGCATGCAAGTTTCAAGAAGGATCAAACAACCCTTTGCAAGCAATAAAGACCAACCGAGTCTCTATGTCCCTCACCTCCAATCCCTGGATTGGGGTATCTACTTCCTGGTTAGTTCTTCTTCAATTGGGCCGTACTGATTTCAGACATGGCTGCCTTCAAACCTTTTCCAATCAGAGGAAGAAGGTGACTTTCACCTAGAAGCCGTTGTGATACTGAACACCTTAAAACACGACATCTGCTAGCAAACAGGAAGAATTCCGTACCTTTCCTTCCGACACCCAAACCAGCTGATTTTGTTGTTGCTGGATCGCTTCCTTGAGTGCTCCATACCATCCGTCGTTCATGGAATTCAAGTTAATGGTAGCTAAAGGCAGACAGAAAAGAGAAGGAAAAGCCAAGAGAGAGAGAGGTGTGAGGCGCTGAAATGAAGTCACAGCCACAACTTACGCCACGCACACCATGCTCTTCTTGGATTCTAGAAGCCTTGGAAGTTACAGAGGAGCGTGATTTTCAGAGTTGAGACCTGGGATTCAGAAATCCTAAAAGAAACTCCCTTCGAAAGTTAGGTTGGACTGGAGGAAATATTCCAGTTTTGTCATCTATCTTGCAAGTGACGGAATCGCAGCGCATCCCGCTTAAGAGCAAACAGGGTTCGTGAGACTTTGAAGAATGTGGCTGATTTCACTGAGAACCTCCAGTGATGCTGCTTTTCGACATTATCTATTTCAAGGATACATCTTTTGGAAAATAGGCCCATGGGCATCAAGAAAAAAAACACGGAAGATTTCAGGAAAGAAGGAAGGGAAGGATGGAGGAGAAATGAAGGAAGGACAGAAAGAAAACAGGGAGGGAGGAGAATGAGAAGGAAGGAAGGAAGGGAGGGAGGGAGGGAGGG